TCATCCTTGGAAATTTAAGTTCTTTTTTTAATCTCATTCATTGTATCTCTTTCTTTCTCATTTTTCTATTTCTCGTCTTTATTCGCATTGCACTTCCTTAAATACATTTGGTCTTGATCGAGGAACATTTATTGGTGGGAATTCGTTTCATCGTTTTTTTTAATAATAACAATAATAATAATAATAATAATAATAACTATTATTACGTATAATAGTAATAAAAGAAGACCCAGGGGTGGGGGGGAGCAGATCGATTAAATAAGAAAAACATCGCCTAGAAAAGATATAAAATAATAATAATTGGAATAATAATAATAATATTAATATTAATATTAATAATAATAACAGAAAAAATATTTTTAGCTATTCCTAAATTAACTTATACACCCTCGTATAGGGTGAGTCACGCATATCTTTTACGTCACATTGAATACACATAATTCATATATATATATATACACTTTTTAAAACTATTTTAGTGATTTAAAATCAATTTGAGACATTTTAATTTCTTTTTTATTAAATTTGAAAAAGAAAATACTAATATGTAATTCATCGTGTATATATATATGTTATCGTTAGAATGTGAAATCTGTTAATTCATGAAATAACTGTACTGATCAATTAAAGTATGAAATGAGGTAGAATTACATACTTTTATTAGATAATATAAAAATACACACACGATATAGACGAATAGTTAAAGTATGAAATAGAAATTTGATCCGATAGAACAGCACGACTAACAAATAACTATAAACATTGGAAAATGTAGAAAGAAAAATTAACTTCAACGACAAATCAGTACTCAATCTCATACTTTAAATCATTCGTCTCTTACGAATTCATATTTCACATAATTGTATCGTTTATTTCGAAAATAACCCGAGTCCATTATTTTTCTTCAAAATATTTCTTACGACAACTAATGCCAAATAGATACACGTTATTACAATTAACAACAAACAATCGACAAATGAACTTAGACCAATTTCCAAATACAAATCAATCTGAATTATTTACTAAAACAATGAATTCAGGTGTGTATCGTAAAAAAATTCATTTTACAATATACCTTCTCAAAAAACAAAAAAAAACGTTTAATTATTTGATAGATTGAAATATTTTTCATGAATTAATCACAATATTATAGATTTCAATGATAACGTAAGTATAATACACACCCCATACATAAAGTATACACATATTTACAAAATATAATATTATAATGAAGTTTTACACACTAACAGGTCAGGTATCGAAAGAAGCGCATTTTTTTTCTCTCTCTGATTTTTTTCTTTTCTTTTCTTTGTTGAATCTCGGGGACATTAGAAGAAGCTTTACCAAGCTTTAAAAACTTTACTAAGTCTTTTTCTGGCCCGAAGGAAAAACGGTGCCTATCGTTGATGTACTATACCGGAGTGATTCGTCGCGCGTATTACTCTCTGTCTTCCGTAATGGCGTGTGCGCGAGTCGAAGTAGAAGAACAAGAAGAAGAAGAAGAAGAAGAAGAAGAAGAAGAAAATGATAAAGAAGAAGAAGAAGAATAAGAAGAAGAGGCCATTGCCTCTGTTTCGCGTGCGATTTCGTTGAGACGTCGAAGAGAAATTGTGCGAATAGCCGGGATACGTGAGTGAGTATATATACAATGTTGATGGCACGACATGCAGCAAATGAAGACGTTCGCGTCGACCTATTAGCTGCGTTCGTGCTACGCATCCTGCGTTTTATTCCTTCGTTCTTAAAGAAAGATGGAAGAGAGAGAGAGAGAGAGAGAGAGAGAAATGGGATCTGTTGAAATCGTATACTTTGGATTACTATTAATGTAACGTTCTTATCTTTTCTCTTGTTTTCTATTTCTCTATCTCTCTCTTATAATCGGTTAAAAACAGTTTTATCTTTCTTTCTTTAACCCTTTGAATGCTATGAACGCATATATGCGTTTGGTAAAAGTTGATGTTGTGTTTATATCAATGTTAATGTATAATAATGTAATATTTGTTGTTGTATCTTGTCAAATGAAAATAATATTGTGAGAAAAACATTAAATATAATTTATTAATATTAGTATATCTGGTCATATTAATAATAAATTATATCATTCGTAGGAAATACTATTCGGTTAAAAGTATTCAACATTCAAAGGGTTTAATGTAAAATTTGTAACTTTTACTTGATATAATTTTTATTCGTTTGTCTGATGATTTTGTTCTCATCTCTTTTTTTTTTCTATTATTTTCTCTTTTTACGTTTGTATGTGCCGATAATTATTAACAATGGAATCTCGATCATATAATTGGAAACAATATGATTCCGTTAGATTTATTTTATAATATAAATAACGATAATATATAATTATTGATACGTGTATATATAATATAAAGGATATTTTTTTACAAAATTTGTTTTATCGAATTACAAAAATGATAAGCTTATTTTCTCTGACAAATATTCGAATTAATGGTTATACTTTTATTTTAGTAAAACCGTTAACGGAGAGATTCACATTTTGGAAAATATATTTAATAAATGAATATTTTTGTCGTTGAAATTATTATTTTTAGATAAAGAAATTTTTGAGATACCCTTTAGATATATATTTATCTTTCTATTTGTATATCCTTTAACAACGTTGATACATGTCAAATAAACTCATTGGATAATAACTCGTCCTCCTTTTTCCTCAATCGTTTTCTACGAAGTAACGACAAACTATAATAGAAAAGACGATGCTAGAAACTCTTATCCTATCTACCTTAATTGCGGAAGCTAGGAGAGATGTGAAATAAATTTGCCTTACGTATGGCGGACAAAGACGTTGATCCGAATTTTTCTCGCTTTTCTCGGGACGAAATTAATGAATGCCGTCGTTGAGTTCGTAGATCGTTTCTCTCTCTCTCTCTCTTTCTCTCTTTTACTTATTATCTATCTATCTATCTATCTATCTCTCTATCCCTCTTTGTCTCTCTGTCACCTTAGCCCGAAGATTTATTTAATCCCAGCTCGAGGAGAATAGAATCGTCGAGTATAGCTCGTTTCGATGAAGCTACGAGTCATCAGTCGAGCCTTAATTAAAGCGTAATTAAGAGGTGAGGAAGTTATTTTGGAAAAAAAAAAAGAAAAGAAAAAGAAATGAATAAATAACAAGACACACATTCGTATATGAAAGTTATAGAGAAAGAAAGAAAGATAAAAAGAAAATTTACGAAGAATTGTAGTTTCTTTCGGTTGTTATCGAAGCAAACACCTACGAAAGGTTATCCCATTATATTATTATAATATTTTTGCTCGAGTTTATGACTATTACTATTATTCGTCGTTGGAACGAAGAGAGGAGCTTTCTCACAGCTCAAGAAGAAAAAGCTTCGAAGGTCTTATTCTCTCTTTATATATCTATATATATATATATGTTTCTTTTTCTTTTTCTCTTTTTTTCTTTTACGTTCACTCTCTTTCTCGCGTCCAACTACTACCATCTATCATTCTGTCAGCTAGGAGATTTCAATTTGCTCTCTTTTTGCACCATTACCGGGCCCCGGCGGCCCGCGCAAAATTGTATTTAATTGTGATTGACTGCTAAGTGGAGGTGGCCCGTCGTTGCCATTTGTCCAGCGATTTTTGCATATCCCTAATTGCAAGAGGGAGCATCCTATCTTTTCGTCTTATTGTTAAAATCGCCCCTTATATAAAAAATCTACCTTTATTCTTCAACGAGAAGGAATCACGACCTTGCTCCTGATGCTTCATAACTATCCTTCAGAAAAATTCGATTGTATTGTTTTGAAAAAATTCTTTACAGCTTTTTTTTTTTATATGAATGAATGAATGAATGAAAGATTTTCCATTGATATATTTCAAGGATTAAATTAATCGTTTTAAATATTAATATAATTTGAAAATATATATGAAATACAAGTAATTTATGATACATTGGGAAATAATTTGTTAACAAAATTGAATTATATAAAGTAATCCTTTTTTTTACTCGTCAAATCATTAATGATATTAGATATAAATAATAGTATAATAAATAATCAATGTGTTTTTCACTTTAAAAATCAAATTCATTCAAATTCATTCAAATTATTACTAACATTTAATATTATTAAACGAAAGTTTTCATTCTAATCGACGAAATTTCATCTCGTTAAAGAAACTCGTCTTATCGTTGTGCTAGGCAAAGTTTCAGATTTAATAATTTAAGGAACGACTATAATCGGATATATTTATGTAGTTATTTATGTACTTACTTATGTACAGATAGACAGAGACAGACAGAAATGCACGCCTACGCGCGTGTTGCTACGAGACGATCACCTGCGAGATTTATTTACAATTGAGAAAGAGAGAGAGAGGGGGGGAGTCCTTTCAAAGGACCTTTTTCCTCTACACAGGAAAGTATCGAATTAGCAAAGAATCACATTTTACATTCTTTCTTATCGGCTAGGAGTAACCGAGGAGGACTCGATGTACGATACTTTGTGCATCTTTTATTTTTCTTTTTTCTTTTGGCTACCGATACTATCTACGAGAGAAAGAGAAAGAGAAAAAGATAGAAAGAAAGAAAGAGTAAGAGTAAGAGTAAGAGAAAGAGATCGGTAAGGAAAAAGTCACGTGGAATCTCGCGGCAATGTGGCACGAGGGAGAAACATTAGCGATGAAATATTGCGCGGCACGAAACTGCTGTAATTATTGCTCTTGATTAAACTCACCGGCTGTATAAGGAATTCGAATCGATATTCCCTTCTCTCTTTCTCTTTCTTTTTCATGTATGTATATATATATATATATATATATACATATACATATACATATTTACGTATATATATCTAGCTATATGCACAAACCACGCGCACTAATCGATTAGCCTTAATCGCGTTTACTTTATCATTAAAATCGCAAGACGACGATTGTTATTTAAGAGTTTAAACAGGACAGAAACAAATAAACAAAAATAAAAGAAAAAAAAAAGGAAACGTAACATATATACATTTCGGAATTCATTCTCTTTGTAAAAGTTCATATAACGCAGCGATATAAGTCTGTGCCATTTGTAATGTTTCAAACTTGCTTAATTTCCTATCGTTACCTAAACTAGGTACGACGTCACGTAGCCTATCAAAGGCATCGTTTAAACTGTTCATTCTTCTTCTTTCCCTAGCGTTAGCTGCCAATCTTCTTCTCCTAAGTACCTCGACACCCGGTGCAGTACCATTCTTCATCTTTTGCACGGATTCCTTGTCCTTGTGTTCAACGTAATCCGTAGTACGAAAAGGTTCATTCCTTTGATGATGATACCTGACCTGATCGTTTTCTATCGTTTGATTGCTCGATGCACAAGCGTCCTTTCTCTGCATGGTACAGGTGCTACCAAAGTAAAGGACGTCTGACCTTTGACCGTATGCACCAACAACTTCTGGTCCACCATCGTTACTTCCGGAGTGAGTGAGACCGTTACTTTTCGCAATGGCATAAGCTTTCTTAACGAAAAAAGTATCCTGCTTTTGCGAAAACTCGCACCTGTCGTTACCAAAGACCACGTTCGTGGGATGGTGTTCCATTTTTGGCGGGTAACCGGATTCCTGTTTGCTCGTGGCAAATGTTTCGTTGTTAAACGTCGTTGTATTGTTCAATGGATTTTGATAGATCTCATCGTGACGTTGATGATCGTTCATCCTGAATACGATTTTCGCACGTTCCTTTGGATTTCCTATCATCGTTTGAGATTGATGATCGTTTTTGTTGTATCCCTCTTTATAATAACCTTCGTAAAATTCAGCGAAATTAAAGCTAGCCGTAGTGGTTACGTGAAAAGCACCATTCAAAGGACCGATTTCTTGATATTCCTGATGATTATGACTGTCCAAAGAACTAACGCTACCACAGCTACTACCTCGTGATCTTGGTGGCTGAGGATAAACCTCCTGATGAGCCCAAGATACTCGTTGGTTCGATTCAGGACTACTCGCCGAACCATAACCCTCGGAGTCCATCAGATCGTATTGCTGGAAGTTCGCGTAGGCGGTCATCCTAACCACGGGATTCAACGTCTATCGTGGGTAGTATTTCTACGTGATAATAAAGAAAAATTTGATCTCACATTTGGATAATGTCGATAACGTATTGACGTTTATCCTTGTATTTTTTTTATCTCGAACTACGATTTATTTGTTATATGTATTTATTTTCTTTTCAATTTGCTTATATATACGTTCGATTTTATGTCATAATAATAACCCTTTAAAAACTTCGATACTTTTTTTTGTCACGAATAGATAAGACAAGTCTCACGATTTCCTCGTGTTCCCGTATCGGATGCTTCACGTACGGAAGCGTTGCGTAAACTGGCTTTACCTGGCGATCTCGTGGCCTGGACCATGCCGGTTGCTTTTCTTGGGACTTAATGGAAGGGAGGGAGAGAGCGTGCTTCTGGGACCCACGTGGAAGGGGATCCCTGAGGAGTGGAAGGGATCCACGGGGAAGTGGGAATCTCTTTGTAGAAGCCGCAAGACCGGACACGCCTCTCTCTCTCCTCTTTCTTCTTGGTTCTTCTTTGCTGGGGGCTCTCTTTAAGTCAAATTCGATCGACGGAAGAAAAAGGAAAGAAACAGAGGAATACGAGAAGAAAGAAGCCGATCGCGTGGCACGGTTTTTCTTTTATTTTATTTTATTTTACCTTCTTCTTCTTTTTCTTTCTTTTTTTTTTTTTCTCTCACTCACCCCGTTTTTCTTTTTCTCGAAACGATCGATAATCCTTTCAACGTGTATCGAAATCTTATTCGATATTAATTTTGTATTAATATTATTTTGATTTCGTACAGGTTTGTTTTAATTGAACTAACGAAATATATTTCACGGTTATTTAATTTGATCGTTTTATATTCAAAATAAATGTCCATGATTATTGGATATAACAATTTTAATCACGCGTATAATAAATGATGCGATATAATGTACGTAATTTTTTTAAAAAATATTTTTGTTCTCTAGAGTTATATTGATTTGCTAAATAAGTGGTTCACTTCTTTCTTGTCAACTAACCTTGTGGAAAAGTGTTCTTATCCCACTTCCCTAAGTGGGTTATTTCCTTATCGAAAGATCTTTCATCAATGGATCGATCGGTTTTTTACGCTTATATCCATTTTTACAGATTTCTTGTACCGTTTCTTTTGTCGTGTCCGAAAGAGTCCCAAATAACGTGTGACAAATTTTACGAGCTACCAGAATAACAGACAAAGAAACCAGCCGCAATACCGTTATTTTTGTCAAGAGATTTTAAACGACATCGAGGGTCGAAATAAGAAAAGCGTCGACATTTTGACTGGTTTACGAGCACGAAGTGGCGCCTTACAAGTCTATCCATTAGTATGGTCATTGTAAAAGATCTACGACAGGTCAATAAAATCTAACTTTGAAAAACAACAACTACTACTACCATTGATTTTGTACGAATTTGACTCGCACTAACATATTTACAACGATTTCTCGTTCTAAACTTGTCTTATAAACTCTGTTTTTTACATAAGTAAGTAAGTAAGTAAGTTATTATCAAATACATTAACTTAGATCCAAGTAAACGATATAATGAATCGTAATGAAAATTTGAATTACGTTGATTGGTTTAACAATTCTAATGTATCGATGTTTACGAAACAAATGACTCTTATTTCCAATAATAGTAATGAAAGATCTACATTCCCGCTTACGTATATCACTTTGCCACCTATCGCGATCTTGTACGGAAAAAAATATCTTTATTTACGAATCTCATTGTAAGTTACTATTTTAGTATATCACAGCAAACATAACTCCTCGCGGTTATGTGCTTGTCCTAACACTTAGAGACAATTACTAAAAGTATTTATTAAACACCACCTAACATCTTCCTATATTTGTAAACACAATTTCATGGAAAATGATAGATATTGCATTACAGGATTATACTTAAACAGGAAGAGAGAATAAGAAAAATATTTGCATCGTTAATCGCGTACGGAAAACATCGTCATGGAAATGTTCATCTATGTTACCCCATTCTTGATCGTAAAAGAGTAAGTAGGAGTGGGGTTAGAGGTTGCGAGAGAAAGAAAGTAAGAAAGTAAGAAAGAAAGAGAGAGAGAGATATAGGAGAGATAAAGGAGAATAAACGTTGTCGGCATGAAATATCGTCCTTTTCCCTCGTTCATTTTCCATGAATTCGATGAGACGCGAAGGCTGTTGGCTCGGTTAAAGGCGGTAGACTTTAAAAGCTCGTTATCCTACGCTAATACGCAACAAATGAGCCGATCCTTGGAGAAACTCTCGGTTACTTTGGACCGACCTATGAGAGAAAAAGAAAGAGGGGGAGGTTCTAGCAAAGGAAAGGAAAGGGCACGCTCTCGTTTCCACAAAGTTCCAATGTTTACGCCTACGGACGACGCGCGTCCTTTGATTTACGATGGGAAAAAAAAAACCTTTAGTAGTTGGTGGGGTGTAACTCTTATATTAGTTGCGAAGAGAGGTTCAACTATTTCGACGTTATAGTTAATATACGAGAAATGACTATGTACTTTATCTCATTTATTTTCTTTTATTTTCTTTCCCACACATTTTTGTATCTTCTCTTTTTCGGTTTTATTTTTCGTATTTGATATTTTCCTTAAATGAGAGAACTTTAAAGTACATTTGAATCTTCGTAAGAGTTCGTAGGTTCATTTCGTTTCATTTCCTGTCTGGTAGATCGATCGATAATCGATTTTCTTGCTTTCGATGTAAAGCATAAATTGATTATTATACGAGTAGGCTACATCGCTACGGCGATTCACGGCTCGGACAATCGCTAATGATTTACAAGATAATGACACGTTTGACTGATGCACACTGGCTACTAGCGGCATCCACGACGTGGAAATATCCAACGACAGATGCGATGGTATCTGCAGTGTATTAGCAGCGTTGCAACGTCGATGAGACATACAACAGACAGAAAGATAGAGAGGAAGAGAGAGAAAGAGAAATAAAGAGAGAGAGAGATGAAAGAAAGGATACCGGTATTACTTCTTAAAAGTATTATTTTTTTTCTTGCTAATAATCGATACAATTTTTTCAAAAACAAGTATATTCCTTTCGTTTTGTTTTTGAATAACATCAAGTTCTCTCTTTCTCTTTCTCTCTCTCTCAATCTTTATTATAAAATTTTCTATATTATCGTTTTATTTTGTATAAAACACACCTCAGGCTTCGCAATACAATATAATTAATCGACACTTCTGATGGATTATCCTCCTAGTCTGATTAGCTCCTGTTACAGTGCCAGCGAATGGGCCTCATTATTTTCTATCTAATCGATATCCACGCACGGAATTGGAAGATAATAGAGATGAATAATAATAGGAAGAAAATGATGGTGACGTAATTCACTGGAAGCATGCAAATTAGAAAATGATAAGCAATGATATCTAATGAAATACGTATATGTAGTATATTTAATCTACTATATATATATATTAGATTCGTTATGTTGCACGTAGTATGATTTTTGTCTATCTCTTTCTCTCTCTCTCTCTCTCTCTTGCCAATCATTTTTACGTTTATTAATTGTCAATATATTTTTCTACTTTATTTTCGGAATAATATATTAAATAATATGAGCCGTTTATTTTAAAAGTATCATAAGTCACTTTTTTTCTTTTTTATTTTTTTTTTTTAAATAAAAAGATAACGTTCAATTGTAATTAGTGTTGCCATTAATTCGATTTTTTTGAAAAAGTGACTTATGCCACTTTCAAAATAAACGGCTCATATATAGTTATATAGATACATGTGTTTTTTGATATCACTAATACAAAACGATTTTTGGTAAAACGCATATGGAAAAACAAATTAATCTTAACCGATGGGTTTAACCTTAAGATCGTGGCTGAGAAAAAGAAATATCTTTGATCCTATATATTTTTTAAGCAGTGGTTTGATTTGCTAAATGATCCAAAAGGTCTATTCTTTTTAGGGTTCATCCAAACATGACCCTCATAATGGTTGAAGATTTATGACTAAAACGAGAGCCCTTAATTAGAATTACACTCAAGGTGTTCTAATTACAGGTTTGCCCTGATCCTTAGACTCGGACCACTCGAAAGATCTTTTTAGCGCAAAACGGTGGTTATAAGTCTCCTGCCAATTTCTTCAGCCTCTTTTACCGAGTCGATTGTTTCGGAAAACAAAATGACCGTGGGCGTCGATAATGTCGAGAGTTTCTCTCTCACTTGTAAGTTTAGTCTTGTAATAGATAGGTTGACTCGATCGGAGATTTCTTTGCCTTCGTTATAACGATTTCTGACTGAGTTAGTCAAGAGAAGAAATTATTTTCCAATTAGAAATTTTTTGATTTCAAGTATCATACTTAAGTACACTTCAGATATTAAATATCTAAAAGATGCACATAAGTATACATAATATTAAATATACATATATAAATTTTCAACAATTAAAACTAATAGATATAGTATATTAATCGATTGTTTATAGAAATTCTATTAAATTGTATATATGTGTTGTTAATTACGAATAATTATSATAATTGAATAAAATAGTACGGTATTAAATATGCGTAAGTATTTCTTCATTCAAAATGACACATATTTTCGCT